CGCAATCAAAGTTCGAAAGTGTCGAACTTAGCGAATTATAACCAATCCTAGTTTTGCCAATACACCTAACTCGTCGAGTGATTTATCTCCGCCGTCAATTTAATTATCTCAGGTGAGCTCTACCTAGCAAAATAAAATTAACCAAGTCTCTATAGCAATTTCTACCACCACAGGCACAATCCTGTGACAGGTGTCGTTGCTTGCGACTTCGAGGGTCACTGAGATTGTAATGCTAATTCTCTGAGATGCTGAAGTGCAAAACTTGTTTTTCTGTACACTACTTTGTACAATTTATACTACAGGAATGGCTTTGCGACCGTCCGGAGATAAATAACAAATAACCGCCGCTACCCACAGGATTGCTCAGCACTTGCCGCCGCTATACCATGCACCATACAACTCCCTTGCGCTCCCACTTGTTCATCCCAGCCCCTATAGGTTGCCTCGACGCTCCGCCACCTGCCCTAAGCGGTCCCATCACTCCACGCAATGCACCTGTCATGTGCTAATTACCTCCGGCCGCTCGCTGACTGATGCTGACCTCATGGTGACTCATATACGTCCGCACCTTTGGTATTTTGATGGAAACAAGGGGGAGTGAGTGCTGGAGGTTGGGCATGAGGATGACACCCCTCGATAGAAGCGTCCGCGGGCCCCAGAGCTAGTTCATCTAGAAGTCGCATTGGTTAAGTCGCTCTGGAGCTCCTGTTCGCGGAGATAGATCGCGGAATGGGTCCGTGTACGCCTCGAGGATGCTAGGAAGTCCGGAGCTAAATAGAGCAATTCTTTAGAGCACATAGAAGCCTAGAGGCATGTGAGCGCTGTGTCGAATAAGCTCTGGAGGGCTTGTATGATGTGCTGAGTCTGCGTTATCGGGGGTCAGACGATCCTGAGGCTTATCACTGCGTGAGCTTGAAGGCTTTCTTGATCCACTTGTTGTTGTAGTGATGGCTGTCCGCCGAAGGAGGTGGATGGAACGGACCTTGCTCTTTAACCGTCCGAGTCCTGCTGCCTGTAGGTGTGATGTTGAGGACATGAGCAATGGTTGTAGGAGGAAGGGAGACAGTCAAGGTGATCAAGACGTCATGGGCGTGGTGATGATCATGGTTGTGCCCTTGATGCTTCTTGCCTGTGCGCTTGCCATAATAAGGGCACTTCTTCCCATCTCGCGCATTGCTGCTGCTGCCCTGAGGGTGCTGCTGCTGCTGCAAAGCAAAGGAGGGATCACCCAGCTTATGCTTCACTGCCGAGATTTTGTGTGCACCTAGTTGTGTTGTCTTCTTGTTCTGGGCTTGCTCCCAGGCAGTGACAACAGCCTCCCGGACATTGTCAATGTCCATTGTCGATGTCAATTTCTGGACTAAGACTTGAATGAGGGAGTCATACCAAAGAGGGAGTGCATTGAGACAGACCAGCCCTTGAAGACAGTTAGGGATGATCATCTTCTCAGAGGCCAAGACATTAAAGTGCTTGGCAATCTTGGCAAAGGCGGGAGCAGGATGTTGATCAGCCGGGATCTTGGTGGTTAATGCCCCACACAGCTTGTTATAGATGGAGGCAAGAGATGTGATACCATATGTGTCGTCGAGCTCTTCCCAAGTTTCTTTAGCCGTTGTCTTGTTTTGAATAAGGGCGGCAATGGCAGGGGAGCATCGAAGATGAATAGTGCCGATGGCCTTGGTATCATTTAGTCTCCAGGCCTCACGTGCAGAGCCATCTTGACTGGTACTACCATCCTTGTGGGTGGTTAGCATGACATCTGGCATAGTGATCATACCATCAGTGTCCCCAAAGGCCTTGGGACATCAGGTATGCCTTCATCTGCTCAGACCAGGTAGGCCAGTTCGAGCTGTCGAGGATGGGGACAACAGCGATCAGATTGTCCGACATTGTTGAGGAGCGATTGAGAGATCTCATCAGTATCAGCGAAGCTATGCAGCCCGATAAGGGTGCACTGCTCCATGCTGTTGGCTCCATTAGGGAGTTACCCCAGGATCGATCATCAAGCCTGATGGTGGTTGAGGACAGCACCTACGGCAATGATCACGCATCAAGCCACACTGCAGCCTGTGAGGTGATGCACCGGTGAGTGAGGCACAATGCGCTGCAGTGAGTTACCATGCAGATGCAAGCTGCCTATTTGGGCTCATAACCTGATGAAGAGTTATGGAGGCAGCAGCGTGCACAGTGCACCCTACACAACTCACCTGTATTGGTTGGATGCTAATGCTACTGGTAAAGCTCATATGAACGACCTTTGTCATTAGGCAGCAGAGCTGCAGGGTTTATATACACTGTGGCCCATAAGCTGACTAAGCTATGTGGAATATCCCTAATCCTACTGAGCTCCACCTATGATGTCACTGACCCACATGAGCTCTGTGCCTTGTACAGTAGTGGAATATAACAGAATGTTCCAGAGGGTTCTGGTACATCCTGGTATGTTGTAGAACCTGGCAGCTAAGTCAGTACCTAGTTCGACACACACGATGGCAGCCAGAGGGGCTGATGTTCAGAATGGGTGCATATGCTATCATCATCTTCCTGCTGCTTGTTGACGTCATCAAAGTCCAAACCCTCAGCGGTGCCTGAGCTGTTGGCATCCAATAGTTGAGAGGAAACAAACAGCATGTAGACATGCTGCTCACTGTGCCACAAGTCTATATGGTATTGCAATTTATTGCGAGTGTCCTGGAGATCAGCTTTGGCTTTGCTGCTGTGCAGTAGGTCCTTTTGTTGTGTAACATAGAGCCGCAAATGCTGTCTACAATAGTGCATTAGCTTGGATAGAAGTATTAGTGATATAACTTTATAACTTACTGGTCTTCCTCTAATTCAAGCCCTGCAACAAGAAACGCGCTGGTGGTTATCTTGTGCGGCTGCAAGGTTCCACGGCTCGACTCCGCAGCTTCCTCACGAGACAATACCAAGCAGACATTGTTAAGAGTAACATCTGCATACTATGTTAGCCTTATCCCAGATGCACAACATCTATGCATACCTGACTTTGGCTCAGCAAATGGATTAGGCTTTGATGCATCTGACTGCCAGTCATCCAACATCTTTGTCCACGCAGCGATGACATTGTTGCTAAATGTGGCAGGAACCTGTTGAAGGTCATGCGGTGCTTCTTAGCCATCTTCACAGCTTCCACATACTTCGCAAAATGGCTTCCTTTAGAAAACATCTGTTAGCAAAGGGAGCCACTGACAGCTGACAAGGAAAGATGTACCAAATGACACCACCTTCTGCCAGTTGTAGGTGCCCCAATGATTGTTGAGTGTCTTGTGGCACACAGAACCCATTTCTCTCACACTCATCAATAGCAGATTTGTATACACCCATCCTGACTCAACGATCTCTCCACAGACCATAGCCATGTGGCGCATGTATCTGAAGCAGAAGTTTTCTTCACACTTTGAGCCATGAGCTTCAATATGGAATTGCAGGATGGCGTAGTGGACATTCACTGTGTCCTCCTTCAGCTGCATATCTTCCGGGAACTTGCTTATATGATGGAAAAGGTTTTCAGAGTACTGGCATTTAATATCCAGAGTATGATGACTCACATTAGGGTAGACAAGATAATGTAGTCAATCATGCAATACCTAAGGAAAGCACATAAGAGGACATATATGAAAGGTGTAGGGAGAGTACCCACTTTTCACCCTTTTGCAGATCTGCAGCACCTTTCCTTCGCACTAGACCATGACAGCCGCAGACGCATGCAGTGACATCTGAGATATCCCTTAGTGTTCCGTGTTGCAGCCTGTGTTATTGCATCATGTTGCAATTCACAACAGCTTATCTGGGATCAAGGGATGTGTTAGTATGTATTTACTATGCAAAAGGACAGACTGTAGGGCTTACCTCAGGTTCATCAACGTGCTCACCCAAGAACCGCTGGTACTTCATCTCCTCGACAAAATAGCTCCAACCAGGTGCGAACTCGATGTCCTGGAGCTTTCGATGCTTCTGCTTCAGACGGAAGTTGGCATCAATGGCCAGGATCAATGTATAAAGCCAGCTAATGACTGTGGTAAGCATGGCACACTATTATGCAAGATTGACTTGTCATACTGAAGACTTACTTGTATGTGATGGAGTGGTAGACAGAGATGAGATTCCATGATGCATGCTTGGCACTTCATTTGAAGCCCATGGCAAGACAGACAGCAATACCTTGCATCTTCCTCTCCGCATCCTGAATAGTAAGCTGGTTTTCCATCGAAAAGCCCATCATGCCGTAGCAGCTTGTCCAAAAGCTGGTCACGAAGCCACTCCACAATAAGAGCCTTTGAAATGTTTAAGCAAGAAGATTTGAAACAGGAGAGAGCCAGGACTCACCAGATTGTGCTGCTTCCACTTGCCCAGCATACCAGTAATGGTGGGCACCTGTGCTGGCATGTCATCCAGTGCCTCTAATATATCCTGGGGAGGCGGCTCATTGCTAGCAGCTGGAGTGGGGATTTTGACAGCATCTTGAGGAGCTTCAGCCAAAGCTTGATTGAATGCAACCTTCTGACTGAGCCAACCATTAGACTGCCTGCATAGGCTGTACAAGTGTGATGTTGTTGTTGGAAGCTTCACAGGTTGAGAATTGCTGTCAACCACCTCAAACTGTATACCACAGGGCACTTTTCGGGGTGTCCCCATGCAGACTTGCCCAGATGCTTAGTTGCAATCTAGAGCATAGTGGGGACCGTGGGTAAGGTGTGTGGGTACAAGGACGAGAACTGAATGCCATAAAGATTCCTTATCCAGAAGGCTCCAAGCCAGACAGAGAAGGAAAGCTGTGGCACATGTCTCACTCAGAATACAGGCACACTGAGATGGAATTATGGGCATAGTTCACTTCTTACTATTCTCTGTGTGAGTGCAAACTAGGAAGTAGTCTATAAAGCCATTCATCACAAGTTTATAATTAATATGCCTGTTATGTGTTATTTCAGACAATCTACAAGACTTAGTGCACAATTCAGATGCAACTCAGATGAATGAGCACCGCAGCAATGCAGACTTGAGTTAAGATGCAGGATGTATCCTTAGTTGTCCCTTCCTATGACAGAATATTCTGTATTGCTTTATATACCCTAGATAGATACTCGAACACTGAAGGAGGCACAATACATGGTCCACAGCAAGAGCCTGTAATGTGCATTCACAAACAGCCAGGTGCCTTTCTCAGTTGTCTTCCTGTTCAATGTAAGTGGTTTGATGAATTCTCTCTGTGCATGGAGCCAAAGTAGTGCATAACGATGTTCTGGTGAGACGGGTTACAGAGGCCATAATGACGGGTAATCTAAGTATTTATCCTAGAAGCAAGGGAGTTTTGACTTGTCAATCTGAGAGTATTCCTCCTCATAATCATCTTCAGAGCTATACATCGCATTTGATACTGCCTGTCTGATAGCAACGGCCTCCTCCTCATTGTTCACTATGTTAATGAATTTGACCCTCCCATTCCTGCAAGCATCCCTTTAAGCCGCAATGGCTTGTTCATTGGTTTTGAACCCTTGTTGAACGTTTCCCGGAACACCGCTCACCAGAGGCTCTGTGTTGTGCCTATATTAACCTCAGCTATGCATTGAATGAATGAGAAATGTACCACCAGTGCTTGATGCCTACTTCCCATCCACGAGACACAACATACCACTCTTTGCCGCTGTTGGTTTGGGACAGGCTGGCCCTGCCATCTGCGACTGCAGGTTTACATTTTCCCTCGACAGCTACTTCAAAGGGGAACATCATGGTTTCACCACCCACAAGTACCTTGGTCTCCAATGGATTGGAGGTAGAGGCTGGCAGCTGCGGCTAAGCAGGAATGTGTAGCTGGAGGGGGGGGATTGGTATTGGTGCACCAGCGGGCATCACTGCGAGTCTCATCCATCCCTGGGAAAGCATCGCACAACCGACTATGGCTCACAACAGGATGCTTCAAGCTAAGATGGTCCAGTTCATCGCTAAGAGTCTTGACCTCATGAAGAGGGTGGGAAGGGAGAGGGTGATGATGTCCATCATTCTCCAGGGGTTCTTCCCAAAGACCTATCAGGACTGGTTCAACAAGTGGCCAGCAGTCCCACTCACCAACTCACAGTTAAGGCTTCCCCTGGACCAGCAAGCGTCCATAATCTCTTCAGTGACATCAGAGAGCAGAGCATCACTAATTCAGGACAATATTAGACTGATGAAGAAGGTGAGAATTAAACATGGATTACATTGGGAGTAATATGCATGCTCATCACTGTCTACAATAGAAAATCAGTGATTGGTTCTTCAACCGCACTTGCACTATAACTGGAGGCTTGGACAACACTAGTGGGCTCAAACTTTTGTATACAAATTACGACTAACTTGGATTTGTATTTGTACATTATGAGGAGGCTGTTTGTACAAATTTGTAAAAATCGTGACTACCATGTGTACATGTATTGGATCTGCACACTTTTGTGAACATTTGTATGATTATTTGGACCAATTTGTATGATATTTGTATGCTGTAGCAGGGTTCTTTGTAATGATTTGTGAGCTGTTTGAGGGTATTTTGTACAAATTTGTAAGTTTGTAGAGTGTGTTTGGAATGAGTTTGTAGATCTTTTCACCACAGCCTGTACAAGTTTGTGGTTCTCTAATGGGCATTTGTAAAAATTTGTACAGTCATCAACCGGTCCTTTACACACCACTGGACCTTTACACATTCGACCACACCGCCCTTCCTCCTCGATATTTCGTGGGGGAAGAACTTTGATGTAATAGCTACACTATTCATCTACTGTTATAGACACTTTTAGCACATCCCAATACTGCTTCTTGATCACGAGTTAGAATACCTTTTTGTGCTGGAATAACAAGCAAAACTAAAACAGTATCTCTCGTCTTTAATCAAGAATATATTGTCAAATGTAACAACTCCACTCATTTTGTCACTCTCAAGGATCAATTTGAGCCCTCAACCATGCAGATTGGATAAGTATTGCAGCCACTGTCACCCAAAGATGAGTTGTGCTGCCATGGAGGGGATGTCTGAATGCGGAAGTTAAGGCCACATGGCTGCGCACCCACAACGTCTCAGCACATGAAAGTCAATATATATTGCGGCTTTGAGCGTGTTGTGTTGAACTAGGTGCTGACTTAGCTGCCAGGTTCTACAATGTACCAGAACGTACTGGAACTCTCTGGAACATCCTGGTATATTCCATCATTGTACAAGGGCACGGAGCTCATGTGGGTCAGTGACATCATAGGTGGAGCTCAGTAGGATTAGTGATATTCCACATAGCGTAGTCAGCCTATGGGCCACAGTGTATATAAACCCTGCAGCTCTGCTGCCTAATGACAAGGGTCGTTCATATGAGCTTTACCAGTAGCTGTAGCATCCACTCAATACAGGTGAGTTGTGTAGGGTGCACTGTGCATGCTGCTGCCTCCATAACTCTTCATCATGTTGCTGGTAGACTGAGGCAACAACAATAGACTCTATTATCTGAGCTAGCATCTGCTTCATTCTACTGTACCTCAGCATGGTTGGGCGTGCTAAATCGGAGATGAAAATGAGACAGCTGTCTCGTGAGGAGCAAGACTGGGTGATGGACTGGGCCATGGCAGCTTACCATGCTGAACAGGCCAAGTCAGGTCCACGGCAAAAGAAGGGCCTCCGTGCAATCTGTACTGAGGTTCAGCAGGCATACCTTCTGGAAACTGGAAACGAAGTGAAGCTAAACTTCAAGACCTTGAGCAATCTAACCAAAGGTGGTCAGAAACTGGCAGACTTCAATGCAGAGAAGAGTTGGCTTACAGCATCAGAAGCAGACTTGGTGATTGAATATGCTCAGGAGGTTGCTGCAAGAGGCTTCCCATTAAGCCACCGCAGGTTGAGGGAGCACGTTGAGGACATCTGTCGGGCAAAGTTTGGTGCTGAATGGGAAGGTCTTGGGGAGAATTGGACTTACCAATTCATCGAGAAACACTCAGAGCGACTCTCCTGTTATACCCCACGGCCCCTGGACACATCACGTGCCCAGGCTGTCAACCCTATCTTCATGGCAGAATATTTTTGGCTCTTGAGTGATATCCTTGAGATGGGTGATGATGGTGGTCACATCGCTCCGGAGTGTTGCTTTCGAGTTGATGAGAGTGGTTTCCAGTCTGGCTTGGGTGGAGCCAGCAATAACCGGGTGATCAGGGCTTCAGGGAAGAAGGTTCAGTATGAACAGCAGGATGGTAATCAAGAGAACATCACCATAATCATCACAATATGCGCAGATGGGACATCGCTGCCCCCAGCTGTGATCCTCAAGGGGCAGGCTTATCAGTCAAACTGGACACAAGAGAACCCTGCCAATGCATTGTAAGCTGCTGCTTAGTCTTCTGTTGATGATTCTCACTCGCTGATTTATGCAGTCTTGGATATTCCAAAAAGGGTTGGACAAATGGCGAGATTGGGGCACTATGGATCGAGCAGTTTGATCGCTTTACGAAGCAGAAGGACGCTGGCGGCTCCTGCTTGTCGATGGTCACAACTCCCACTACACCCGCAGCTTCCTGGAATACGCTCGGAACCACAAGATCCATGCTATCCCTCAAAGAGTACACACTGCCTACAAGGTCTCGATGTTGCTGTCTTTACAGTGCTAAAGGACTGTTGGAATGAAGGAAGAGAGCACTGGGAAAGGGTGAAAGGTGAAAAAGTGACAAAGAAGAACTTTCTGACTGTATACGGAGCAGCCCATATCTGGTGTATGACACCAGAACTCATCTGGTCCGCATTCCGCAGGACAGGAGTCTTCCCATTCAACCCAGATGTTGTCACACCCGAGATGATGGCCCCGAGCTTGGAGACCTCAAGACAAGGACATATGCCCTGCCCCTTTCAACCCTGGTTCGTGTCATTAGCGACTTGATTCGGGCGCAAGTAATGACCAAGATAGTGGACCTTCATCGCCCACAAGTCAGCATACAAGCCTTACACCAATCAGGGGATCACTCACAGCAATCCAAGGCTCATCAGGCACCTTCCTTGTCAGCACCTCACCCATGAAATCATCTTCTCATGTCCCATCCCTGCCGGTTGCCCCAATCTTGCCTGAGAAGAAGCACTCATCCTACAGGGTCCTCCTGGAAGCAGAGCCGATGATGGACTGTGAGCGTATGTTGCAGAGTGCTCTCCATGATTCAGAGGCACGAGCTTCAGGCTACAAACAGCGTGTCATCCATCAGCAGGCTGCTCTTGTGCTCCACTCACATTACCTGGAGAGAGCACAGGCGGAGCTTCACGCTAAGGAAGAGAAGCAAAAGAAGGGGAAGAATTATAAGCTGATGGGGGATGGGTGGGCTCGGTTACTTACAGGAGTGAGTTCTTCAACAAGGTGCTCGAGCACAAAACCCTCATGTTGGCAGAGGCAGATGCACGAGAGGTGCGCAGGATCCAGCGGGAGGAACGAAATGGTCTGATGGCCAAGTGGCGCGTGCAAGAGAGCAAGCGGAAGGCCCGCAACAAAGAGAAGCATTGCCATTGGCAGGAGAAGGTGAAGGACTGGGAGGCAGAGCGGGACCTCACGAAGGCAGAAAAGCGGCAACCTAGGTGGAAAAAACTAGTCCGCAGCCCTCTTGAAAAGCGATCCCAAGACCAGCTAGGGCCGCCCCGCTTCCAGACATCAGCGAAGACAATGAGGACGAAGAATTCACATCGGACGGTGATAAGCCTCAGGATCATCTGACCCCTGATAACGCAGACTCAGCACATCGTACAAGCCCTCCGGAGCTTATTCAACACAGCACTCACACGCCTCTAGGCTTCTATGGGCTCTAAAGAATTTTTCTATTTAGCTCTGGACTTCCTAGCATCCTCGAGGCATACACGGACCCATTCCGTGATTTATCTCCATGGACAGGAGCTCCAGAGCGACTTAACCAATGCGACTTCTAGATGAACTAGCTCCGGGGCCTGCGGACGCTTCTATCGAGGGGTGTCGTCCTCATGCCCAACCTCCAGCGGAAGTAAGGCCAACACACCCAACTGCCTTATGTGGACATGCTATATTTGGTGCCGTACCTTGATGGTGTAATACCCGCGGTCATGTGATGCTACCACTCGTGCTGTCGGACTTCGGACTTCGTCCTCTCGCAAAATTTGCCTAAGTCCCCCTCTGGCCCCTACAGCAAGGCGCGCATCGCCGCGTCGAGTTTGAGTTGGGTCGGTAACTCATATCATAGGGCCTACCACTTTCCCTGAATAATCACCCAGTCTTTATAAGTGAATAACAATACTATGTTCAATTGATATGTTTGCTTAAGTCTAGCCCACAAGGCTATCAACAGTGTAGATACCAATGCTACCATGACTTATCACGATTCATGAGTTGACTCGCGGCGACAGCTCGCCAGTCCACCCTAGAGGATGAAAGAGTGACTTAACAAATTTCATGAGAGCAGGGAGCCGGTAATCACGCATGTGGCTTCACATAGCCGGGTGTGCCATCAAGCTCCCGGCATCCAAATATAGTACATCCGAATAAGGCAGTTGGGTGTGTTGGCCTCCAGCACTCACTCCCCCTCGTTTCCATCAAAATACCGAAGGTGCGGATGTATATGAGTCACCATGAGGTCAGCATCAGTCAGCGAGTGGCCGGAGGTAATTAGCATGTGACCGGCATGTCGCGTGGAGTGATGGGACCGCTTAGGGCAGGTGGAGCGTCGAGGCGACCTCTAGTGGCTGGGACGAGCAAGTGGGAGCGCAAGGGAGTTGTATGGTGCATGGTATAATGGCGGCAAGTGCTGAGCAATCCTGTGGGTAGCGGTATTTATTTGTTATTTATCTCTGGCCAGTCGCAAAGCCATTCCTGTAGTATAAATTGTACAAAGTAGCGTACAGAAAAACAAGTTTTGCACTTCAGCATCTCAGAGAATTAGTGTTATGATCTCAGTGACCCTTGAAGTTCGGAAACATCGAACTTAGCGAATTATAACTGATCCTAGCTTTGCCAATAGGCCTGACTCGTCGAGTGATTTATCTCCGCCGTCGATTTAATTATCTCCGGTGTGTCCTACATAGCGAAATAAAATTAACCAAGTCTCTCTAGCAATTCTACCCCCACGAGCACACCTGATGCTGTAGTAGTATTACATTAAACCTGGACGACACTTGTGTGCTCCTTTACAATGTTTTGGGACAATTGTCCAGGCCTAATGTAATGGGATTTCAGGTGGCAGGCAGGCTGCCGTGAGCCAGGCTGAGCTTGAATGGCCTGCCCTGGCATCCCGGCAGGCAGGCAGGGATTGGGGCTAGATCTGGTGCCCCGGGAATGGCCTGGGGGGCTAATAATAGGCTGGCTGATCATCCAGGCACCTGGGTGGCTCCAGAAAATGCGCACAAATTCGGATAAAATCAGAATATATTGGTGGGACCCAGACTCCACATATTAGTGCTATAAATGGGTGATGGGCATATATAGACCATCCCAGAACACAGCTTGGCAGCTCATAGAAAATCGAACGAAATGCAGAAAAATACAGAAAAATTGACAGCTACTGCCAATAGTTCCTATGCACTAATGGCGTCACTATATTACATAACACACTTCCAAATATGGAAATATGTGGTGTGGTACACTGCTGGAACCCAATTTTTATGCTCTTTCTGGCTCTGTGGTCCATTTATCCTTATTCTTCTTTGTTCTAGCTCTCATTTTACCTGACCCAGGCAATGTATGGAGGGGGAATATGTGGCAGTGATCCATAGAGCCTAGTGGCTATCCATTGCTGTAAAAAAGTTTTTTCATTGCCGGCTGCAAAGCAATATTTTGGGTTTTCCCATGTGTATACTATATGCTACATCCTGATTTTATGGGATCATACTCACCCCATATATATCTACAGGTTTACATAAGACACTGAGAGTATCAAGGATGTACTGGCGCTGGGAGATGGTCAGAGTCCGAGAGGAGTGGTCACGCTTGATCTCGACACCTAGAAGCCATGAAGTGGGACCCAAGTCCCGGAGCTTGAAGTGCTGCCTCAAGTCGTCTTTGACCTTCTGGATCGCAGCAGAAGACTTGGCTGCAATAGTCATGTCGTCGACAAAGACAGGGATGATGATACGCACATCCTCCTTCCCAAAGACCCAGACGCTATGCTCACAAGTCAGGCGCACAAAGCCCAGCTTCTCAGTTAGCACCTCATTCAGCTTCTCATGCCAGCGCCTCCCAGCCTGCTTCAGGCCATAGAGCGACTTGCGCAACTTCCAGACCCACTCTGGACCCTTCTCCTCGAATCCCTCAGGCTGACGCATATACACATCCTCCTCGAGCGTCCCATTGAGATAGGCAGTCGAGATATCGACGCTCTCAAGCTCCAAGTCCTCCAGAGCGGCCAGAGCAAGTATAGTGCGAAGAGAGGCCCACTTGGGAGTAGGAGCGAAGGTCTCATTGTAGTCAAAGCCAGGGCGCTGAGAGAAGCCCTTAGCGACTAGACGGCCCTTGTAGCGCTCAATGGACCCATCTGTTAGGCTACTGGAAGCAACCCTCAGACATCCCAGTGGCTAAGTCAACTGTGTCAAGACTGAGGGGACACAGACTGACTTAGGTCCTACTTATATACTATGTGAAAGGGATGAGTAAAACAATGTTACTAAGGGATGACTAAGAGTCCAAGACCAGCCAGACCATTCCAGCAGAGTCCACACCAGTCCAGGCAAGGCCATGGAATCTCCTGGACTATTCCAGAGGAGTTCAGATAGGTCCATTCCAGACAGGTCCAGATAGATCCATTCTGGAATGTTCCAGATGGATCTGCTTCCAGACTGTTCTAGACAAGTCTCCTTCTGGAATGTTCCAGTGTGTTCTTGTATGTTCTTCACCTGGGACATTCTGGACCTCAGTCAAGTGACCAAGTCACATGAC